CACACACACACACACACACACACACACACACACACAGCTGTATAAATCTGGTAAAACTCTGACTAGAGGTCAGTTAATTGTCCTAATGACCAATGGTGGGCATGGTTCTACTAACCCACTAAGAGCAGAACTGACTTTTTGTTAAGAGGTTCAGCACTTATATTAACTTTATTAATAATTAACAGACTCCACTTCTGCCAATTTAAATATTAGTTCATTTCTCTTCTGCTCATAATGTTTGAGCACATTGTGCTACGACCAGAAGAGTTTCACTGGTGAGCTGAGCTATGGTGTGTTGTGAGAAGGCAATGCTGAAGGTGACTCAGTGACGACATCGTTAGTTGAGAATAATAATGTCTGCATTCAGTGTCCTTATTTACAGAGCACATCGTCTGACTCATGATTTCAGTTTACAGCCAATAACAGACATTATTTCTTCTAAACAAAACATTAACCACAGTTTGTCAAGAACAACCGAAGTCCAAACTCAAAAATATTGTAAAACATCACAAACATTATTTTTCTATTTTCTCAGCATAATTTCTGCCACAAAAAGAATTTCTGAGTTTGTTGCAAAATAAAATAATCGATTGTGGCCAGCCTAAGGCACACCTGTGCAATAATCTGTTTAATCAGCATCTTGATATGCTACACCTGCAAGGTGGGTTGGATTATCGCTGCAAAGACGTGCCCCTAAAACAGATTTACACACATTTCTGAACACTGTCTGAAGGAAGGAGCTCTGTTGTGTACATAGAAAGTCTGAGATCTTTGAGTTTCAGCTCATGAAAAATGGAAGCAGAAACAAAAGTGTTGCATTTGTTCAGTGTCGTTTGTTTCTTCACCAAGTTCAATTATGAAAAATCACCACAAGAAATGAATGCATTTTTATCTGTGGTTTATGAATGAACCCTTTTGAGTTTGGTACGGTGTCACAGTACACATTCAGATACAGTTTGTTGTTTGTGTTGAAGTTTTGGTTACTACCTCTGACACCATGAGGGAAAGGTCATGATGTGCAGAGGGGTGTGTTGAAGAAGTAAACATTGTCTTTATTAACACCCGCTGGACGTTAATATGTTAAATAATACATAATAAATGTAGCGCCTATGTTCCAAGGATCCAAACTGAGGTTTAAATATGTTTCAGAGCTAAGTTCTGACTCAGAGTATTATTAATAATAAAATCACTGAAGCCTGATTTTATTTGTTGTTTTTTATGCAGGAAGTCCTCCTGATGCTCTTATCTTAGAGTCTCCATTCACCAACATCAGAGAGGAGGCCAAGAGTCACCCCTTCTCTACGGTAACCAACCAAGCCCCGCCCACTCCCAGCTCACACGGCTCCACAGCCTCAGACGTGTCCTCAGTTGATCTGTGTGTTTCAGGTCTACCGCTTCCTGCCAGGCTTTGATTGGTTCTTCCTGGACGCCATAAGTGCTAACAACATTCACTTTACCAGTGATGAGAAGTACGTATGCTCACATCCAATTTGTTTTTTTTTTATAGTAATAGATACTATAAATACTGCAAAACTCTGATGGTGACAATAATTGAATATTAGTTGGTGTTTTACTGCTATGTTTATTAAAAAAACACGTCCTCTCTAAATTGTACAAATATTAAGGCCAGTTTTTATTTTATTTTATTTTATTTTTTTGCTTTTGACCAAAAACATCTAGGTTTGACATCTGAAGAGGAATATAAGACAAAAGAGCAACACACCAGTTTTATTTACAAGTGTTAAGAACATTTTTTCCCAAAACAGTTAGACTAAATTGCCTTTTTAGAGGATAAAAACCTATTTAATTAAAATAATAAATAAATACTAAAAATTCTAAAAACAGTCTAGTAAAATCAGTCAAAACTTTTATTTGGGTGACCCATATTTTGAAAAAACTCGGTTCTATTATGGCACCGAGGCAAACATCCACGGTAGTAGATGGACCGAAGCACATCTCTAACTTTGGTGCTTTATTTCAGTGCCTCAAAGAAAGCTGTTAAATTGCGCCCTCTGGTGTTCACTGTTAACAGTGACAGCTTCGACACACAATCTCCACTGACTCCCTTATATGCGGTTTGACTCGGCTCGGTGTCGGCCCAATGCGCCTCTCCAAGTACGCTCCACAGCCTCAGAACCTCCTCTCCGGTGGTTCAGGTAGATGCGAGTACAGCAGCTATGATTTTAATGTCAGCAGAATTCTGCTCGTGGATTAACTCTTGGATTGACTGACAGCAAATTTCCTCCTGGAGAGAGCTGCTTTTGTTTAGGAATACGAGCGCGCAGTGTGATACAAAGACATGGTGAAATAAAATTGCCTTTTTGAAAAAGGCAGAACTTGTAAACACTTTATGGAGAGAGGTGAAGGAGACGAAGCTGAACAGATCAACAAACTGACTGCCCACGGTTACACAAGCACTTAGCTAAACAGCACCGTGATAATAAATAAATAAACAAAAGTGAAGTCTGAACGGTAAGACCACAACAGATTTTTTTATTTTATTTTATTTTATTATTATTTTTAACACAACAGTTGAAGCCGCTGCGGACGGTCTGCACATTATCACACCCACTATGTGGAGACACATGGACACTGAGCAGAACCGACCCGACCCAAAGGGAATCTAGTAGAACCGAGTTCATGGAGAGGGGCTAAACAGGTGCCGCTGCAGTTAACAGTTATATATCATATATTAGTTGATATGTCGAAAGCAAAATGGTCCAAAGTGTGGTGTCACTTTACAAAATAAGATGCAGAAACTTCCACCTACAACAAATACTTTAAGAATATTTGGTGCAAAGCCAAATTACTAATGGTTTTAAGTTAATAAGTTGGTCAATTTCAAGTTTGACTTTGACTCAGAAATAGTTATTGCTTCATAAACCTCTGTGTGTGTGTGTGTGTGTGTGTGTGTGTGTGTG